AACCGTATAGCTAACATTGTTTGAGTTTCTAAATACATGCGATTTGTTTTTGTTTATCACTAGAAGAGACTAAAACGACACGGATGAAGCAAGCTTGCCTAGATAGCCGTTCTGACCAGTTGTCCGTCTTCCCCTCGTTAGACTTTCTCTAGCACTCCTCACAGAAATAGCGCTCGGGAGGATAATGAGCCCCGGAAGCGACTGACTTCACATCCAAAAAATGGCGCCGCGGGAAGGGGTCAAGGCTTCTTGTTCACACCTTGTCAGCTTTGCGCCCTCTCCCCCCCCCCCCCCTCCCCGGAAACGGATATACCTGAGTGAGGGGTGTCAGAGCTTTCTCTTCGCACCTCACCGACTATGCATCAGCTGCAATGAGGTGTTTACCGCCTGTGCTAGTGGTACGGCGTCTGAGGCCAGGGTATGCTGCATTCTGAGACGTAAAAACACAAGCACGCCAGAATCATACTTTCACATTTGCTCAAAAGCGCCTGCCGAAATGTTACGAAGCCTTTTGCATCGCACCGCACACATTTTTGTTGGGAATTGTGCATACAATTTATTTCTAAAGATATGTTCAATTTTTCCAAGCAATGGGGCATCGCTGTCAGGTAACGTTGAGCCAATTTATTGGGAATTGAGCATAAAATGGTGGAGCATGTTTCGAATTATATTGTGCCGAGTGGAAGTCGAATGCTCAGATTCGCAGATTAGCAGTGCAGAATCATACCAGAGTTGGTGGGCTTGATCACAGCTCCGTTTTTCACGTTGTGCGGCTGTTCCTCTTTTCTACCGTCACAAGTGTATCAAAATGCGGACCCCTTTCTATATGCTCCATCGTAAGGGCTGAATTGCGTAAATGAATTGGCTTAACACTACCTGACATCAATGCGCAATTGCTTTGAAAAATTCACCATATTTTTGGAACAATAGAAACTGCGCGCAGACAGCTTAAAGGGACAAGAAGCTAAAGAACTCTCTAGTTAAATGTCTTATCTCGAAGCCTAAGTGCTCTGGGTGCACAAGGTGTCATATATACATGCCTGGGTTTTAGGGGGTTTGCACGCGAAGAAATGTGGTCTACGAAATAAAGTGTAAACTGTGCGAAAAATATGGAAGGTACATAGTCTATGTCGGGGAGTCTATGCGCCATATTCTTTCCAGTTGCAATGGGCACCTGCGAGATGTTAAAAACGAAACAGAATAAAACGAACCCAATCGGCGACCATCTTTTGAGAGTACACGCTGAGGCTAAAATCCAGGGAAATGCGGACCCATTAACCCTTTTTGAGCTCAAAGTTATCTTCAAAGCACGGGACCGTCCAGACAGGAAAAATTGTGAATCTATTCTTTTGAGAAATCGGTGGCCAAACTTTAATATACAGGACTCGTCATAAACGATTATGTGGATGTGACGACTGTCTTGATGTGTTATGCATGCTGGCTTACAATCGCTTTCATGCATCAGTGTTGCCTGACGCATGATACACGGTGCTTGCTTAATTTAAATCATTTACATGTAATTGAAATCGCTTGCAAATCGGATGCGTGATGCGAGATGCCTGTTAACTTGAAATCGCTTGCGGAAGTAAATGATAAGTTATGCGTGATGCCTGGTTACTTGAACTCATTTGCATGTACACGTATTTTTCGCGTATTTGAATTTCCGGTTAGATGTGCACTGTATCAGAGAAATGACAGACATTTGCTTCTTGTTTAATCCCCTGCATGCTAGTTATCTGTAGAAACTGTGGCTCGCTGTTTTCTTTTCATTAAAAACAATCCTGAAAAGCTGAGTAGGATTGGCAGGCAACTTTGAATTGTTACCGATATTCTTTTCGATACAGACATGTAGTCGAAATACCACATTTATCTCTTCATTTTCCTCTTTGTTCTTTCAGGAATAAAGCTATTAATAGTGTCTCATCTATATGCATAATGTTCCTGGCAAGTGCACTTTGCAGCTTGCGAAGCGCGGCGGTCATGTCGATAATGACACTTCTACACAGCAGTTTAAACGTAATGTAAAAATCCTGTCCGGGCACTAATTTCAGTCTAGATCAAAGTCATGCCATAGTGCCAAGTCAACTTCAGCAACAACTGCGTTGGGAGCCATAGCTAAATGCCTATCCTGTAGATGAATCGTGCGCAGAGTTGATGTGTGATCGTGCGTGCCACTCCTGAAACGGGAAGAGCGCTCATTGCAATTGTCAAAGGGCGGGACCGCCAGCACCGTCTCGTTTCCATGGGATTGTGTTGCCGCAGCCTCGCCCTGCGGCCGAGGTGCTCTGTTGCCGGCGCAGTATCACATGCCTGCCGTCGTCGGCAACTGCGAAGCCCACTCCAGCGCCTACCCGCGAACAAGAAACAAACTCGAATTCAGTTAGTGCCCTGTGCGGGGAGTTCAGTTGAAATCGCCGGCCGCGACAGGGTCCGATACCTGCCAGTCATACACGCGATTTCAACACGGCAAAACTAAGGTGATGCAGATGACTTTGTGGACTGCAACATAACTCATTAGGTGCTTGGGAGTTGCCCTGTCACCTAAGCCACCTTTGTTCCTTTCTTCTCTCCCTCTTCCTACCTTTTCGCCCACTTCCCCTAATCTTTCGGGCTCACCCCCCCCCCCCCGCCGAACTTGCCGAATGTGCACCAGCCTCCGGGATAGCTTGCAAGCTAGTTCGAAGAGTAAATCCAGACTAAGGGATACTCCCATGCGCCAAAACAGCCACCACGCCGTGAGCAATGGTGTCAAACCTGCCAACCTCTTTCCTGAAATACGATAGTGTTTGATAGCCTGAAATGTATTTGAGGACAGCTTGGTCTCTTACAGGCATGCTACCATATGGATGCGGAAGAAGAGCAACCGTTGCAAGTGGGTCACGTTGGCGCTAAAACCTCGGAGGTTCCGTTGCAAAATAAGGGTCGGCGTACAGGGGTCTACTAGCCTGTTAAAAATGCGTCTCTGGGTCTAAAAATGGTCGTCACTAGTTCTCCAGTTCTCGAGATCCCGCGTTCTCCAACTCAACTCAACCCAAAGCCTGGGCGAGGGGTCGTGGGTGCACGGACTGGGGTGCGCCGTGAAAGGTGAGAGTCATGGCCCCACCGGACCGCGGTCCACCCCTCCTCCCCGGACTCCACTCTTCCCCGAGCTCACACGCAGCTCCATCAGACGGTGCGTCCCTCTCGGACTGCGTATCTCCGGCTGCCGTGGACGTGGCCGCCACTGACACAGACAGCACCGCAGGGCGTGGTGCTGTGACGCGCCAGTGTGGAGATAATCAAGCATATAATATAATCACATTGGATTGGAGTCATATTCGCAGTTGCCGACATAAATGCATATAAGATAATAAAGTCAGTCTCCCACGCTCATGTCTTTAAAAGCGTACAAGTCATTCAGTGTCAAAGCCTCTCCGCTAAGAACGTTGAATACAGGCGGCTGTTTCTGCTGCACCATAGCCCCTCGACAAGATTTCGTTGTGCCTCTCCCTAAGCCAGCGTTGAGCTTAGTGACACCAGAGCCCGCCCTTGACCTTCACGGTGAAAAATTGTTTCTTGGCAGTGAGTGCCGAACACTTCGCAAAGACATCATATATGCCTGCTCGCAGTTGGCACATGTCAGATTTTCAAACGAACAGTTCTGCATCGTCAGCGATCTTCCGCATTTGGGGGTACCTTCCAACACTTGTCCAGTAAATGTTCGAAGGACCGGCATGTATAACACCGGACAGGGTCGGGCTGTGCTGTCGAACCGTAATACACTGGTAACCGACCGTGATTCTCTCGGGTAGTACAGTGTGATTCAAAATGTCAGGACAACGGCACCCGGGTCTGTGAGATGACCGCTCCCCCATCAGCGGATGCGTCTCGCCGACACAACGCCATGCTTCGCCAGCCCCTCCACGATATCCTCGCCTGCAACTCACCTCAGGTTCCAGCAGGTGATAACCCATCTGGTCGAGTTTTTGCTCAGGTGTGGCTGCACTCTCACAGCCGTTATCAATAATCCCTGTCCCTTGCCACGTAGGAAAGCTCTGTGGCAGTTAGTCCGCTATAAATTGAAACACTATTTTGCCGTCGACAGACCAAAATACCTTTGCGGGTACAAAATGTTTCGAAGCACCCACAGCGTCAAGCGCTGTGAGTGCTGAACTGAGCTGTACGCTGCTGCGCCGAGCTGTACGGTGTCGTGCCGAGTGCTGTGAACACTGCGCCGAGCTGTACGATGCGGTGCCGAGTGCTGTGGACGCTGCGCCGAGCTGTATGGTGCTGCGCCGGGTGCTATGGATGCTGCGCCGAGCTGAGCGGTGCTGCGCCGAGTGCTATGGATGCTGAGCCGAGTTGTGCGATGCTGCGCCGAGTGCTGTGGATGCTGAGCCGAGTTGTGCGATGTTGCGCCGAGCTGCACGGTTCTGTGCCGAGCGCTGTGGGTGCCGTGTCGAGCTGTCCGAGCGCCCCACCTGACAGCGGGAGGGTGGTGCTGGGTGGTGGAAGCGATGCGTCGAGCAAAACCGATCCAGGCCCTTATGCGATGTTTGATGGCTTGAACTCATGAATGCGACCGACGCGACCGAAAACGCCATTCCCAGTATAGGTGGTCGCGATCCGCCCAACACTTTTCACCGTACAATTGTGACCCTGGCCTGTCTTCATGCGCGAGTGTACGGCTGTCCTTCCTTATAGTCTGAGCTTCGTTTAATTATTATGTGTCAGATGATTCATAAGTTTAGTTGAATACCCGTCGGTCACCGTCCTCCTGTTGTGGGGAAGATGGAAGCTGGAAGCGTTTGGAAGCTGGTGCTGTGCCAGCTCTCAGCTGATCGGTGCCCTCTGTCAGTTCGCGGTACTGCCGTTGGATGCGCTGCGTGCGCCTCTTCCGTTGGCCAGCCTGTGTGACCAACGTTTACGCATTACCGCCATCGGTTTCGCTTTGTATCGTCTTCATCTCAGTTGGACGTTGATGAAGTGTTTCGTTTTCTGAAGACACGAGGAGCAGCAGACGCGACTTCTTTTATTCCAGCGGATCAGTATGACGTGATGGGACATTTGAATATGTGTCCAACATATGCACACACAGTGGGTACCGTACACAGCTGAATATGCACAATGGGCATCCTTAAAATCACGCGCTTTTAACCACGGTCAGGACCGGAACAGGCAGTGTGATGCGTCATGAACCTAGTCACCCACAGAGTCGGGTGGCGCCACCGAATCACCGAAAGGGTAGCCGGTATGGTTCGGCACGGATGTGGGAGATTGATACATGTCAGATTTCTGCCTGAAATCAGCTGTTGACCTGACGCCATCTGGTGTGGTCGGAACATGTTACTACAGATGGTAACAGCCTAGTGACTACTACGAGCTTGAATTTAAAGGGAAATAGCTTTCATTAATCGGACCACCAAACAACCTTTAACAAGTGGCGAGGGGAGGAAGCACATTTTCTTCCAGGCAGAAACACAAGAAGACACTCGAGAGCAGTGGCGGACTAATTTCTTGTCAAAGAACAACAAACTGCCATGGTTCTGCGGCGTTCTGGGATGACGCCAGAGCTCAGTCACCTGACATGACTCCGTACAAACCGCTTCAAAATGTGTTCCGGTGATGCACTGTAAGCATGCGCGGCTGTGCACAGATGTACAGCACTCCCGATAATTTCGTGTTCATGGTCTAAACATTGTCGCGTGTGCATGGTATCTACCCCTCTCGCCTACCGACCGGGCGGAATGTGCCAAGGACTCGACATAAGGACACAAAACTCCCTCCTAGCTCGCTACAAATTGGCCCATGAATCGCACTGACAAAAGTCTGTTGCAGGTTCGATGCGCGTGAACTGCTTTTTGGCGCTCACAACTCCCGCTGCAGAGCATTTTGGTACCATCCCCTAACCCCCACATCCCACATACAATTTAACTTATATTGCGTGATGAACCTGGATTCAACAGCGGATTAGTGATCAAAACCGGAGACATGGATGTTACCACCTTTTCGGACCAGATGACCCTCCCCGGCTACATGGCCTTAGACACAGCCCCTGACCCAAAACAGAGTCTTACATTTATAATGTGTTTCCACACGTGTCTGCCACCATACTGAATGAAGCCCATAAACATATGATAAAGGTATTTCGTGTTTAAGTACCATCGTTCTGCTTTAAAAGGAAATGATCCCATATGAAACCCACAATTCGAGCGACAAAGGTTACCTAGTTCTTACCCTGTCATCAATTACAGCAGAATAATATCAGAACACAGCAGAGGATCACACAATCCAATGGCTTTCACGCATATAACATTGTGGTGCGAGCGCAAAACCCACTCAGAAACTGTATCAAAATTGATCCCGCTCTTGCCTCTCTGCAGTGGCCGAACGCGCTCTCGTACACCAACGCGGGCCAGCCACATGGCGGCGCGTGTGGAGCATCACACGGCCAGGGGTCATACCGTGTCATACCAGGAGGTAAACGGCGACCAGCCACATGGCGGCGCGTGTGGAGCATCACACAGCCAGAGGTTATACCGTGTCATACCGAGAGGTAAACGGCGACCAGCCACATGGCGGTGTGTGTGGATCATCACACGGCCACGGGTCATACCGTGTCATACCGATAGGTAAACGGCGACCAGCCGCATGGCGGCGTGTGTGGAGCATCACACAGCCAGAGGTGATACCGTGTCATACCGAGAGGTAAACGGCGACCAGGCACATAGCGGCGTGTGTGGAGCATCACACAGCCGGAGGTGATACCGTGTCATACCGAGAGGTAAATGACGACCTCTCTGAAGGGGCCGCACCAACACCAGTCACACACGTCGTTGGTCGCAAGGGCAGCGGCCCTGCCATTGCCATACGTGGATGCTACTTTTTCTCTCTTCCATCAGCAGAACTAAGCTCGGCGGCGGTGGTGGGTGACTGGACGTTCCTGATTTCTTCCCCAGCTACGTGTGAAGCGTCAAACCCCGACGCTCCACCCACCCATAGTAAGCTGGGCGTGCTTTGGTCATGTCATGGGTAAACTATTATATATGGCATGCATGGTCACATTATTGTCACGTGCGGTAAACGAGTTCCTTCGTCTACATAACAAGATATATGGCACTGATAACTCTCCAACATACTGGGATCAGAACGTCACTTCGCAGCTCCAATACTGTCTTGCCCGCACAAATCCGTAAGCCCTTTGCCTTCCTTCGGAGTTCCATGACAATATCGTCCTCGATACTGGGCCCTGCAACTCACGTACCCCACCTATGGCTATGCCTATACCCAGGGCATGGACGCATATAGGGCTTTGGTCGGTCGGAAGAGGGATAAACAGACGTTCTGAGGTGTAGTGATGAATTGGGGGCTCAAAACATTGCACAGCGGCGCCCGCAGTACCGTACGGGTACCTACGCAAGGTCCCACCTTGGGGACACATCTGCCACTGTCCCACGTGGATCTCCCCAGCGGCCATGCTCTTTTGCCCCTTTACATGTTTGTTTTGTCCTCGAAGTCGCGCATTAATTTTGGCTATCGTTTTTTTTAAATTTTAACCCATGTCGCTTTTTCTCCGTTGACGGTTTTGTGTTTCAAGAGTTATGCCTGGTGTTTTTTTATCGATTAAGACTTTGCTGTTTGACACATGCCAGTTTGGCATATATTACCATTTACCTTTGCTCTCTGGCCTTTGTATCTGTCTCCCATTGGAGCTTCTGTTCAGATACCTCGTGATGTCAGGCCAGATAGTCACATGAAGGCCAGACAGAACAAGCGTTGTTAAACATAAAAACGGGCTACAGCTTCCCCCAGTGCAAACTGCAGTGTCGTCACACGCTCACCGTCCACCGCAAAAAAGGAAGGCATTGACGCGTTAAGGCCGCCTGGCCACGCGTCAGCAGTCCACTGGGCGCCTGAGCTCAGACACGCGGCCGATCAGTTCGCCAGCTGGGCGGCTGGCCACCGACCCCAGGCTGTACCGGTCAGCCCAGCATCAGGCCGATTGCTTCACCAGCTGGGCGGCCGGCCGCCGGCCCCGGACTGCGCCGGTCAGCCCAGCATCAGGCCGTGGTTCTTGCCGAGCCGTTTGCGGGCGCGGTCGCCGAGGCGCGACAGCGGCCCGTTGACCACGGGCAGGCCGTGCTGGTGGCCGGACGTCTGCTGCTGGTAGTAGGTCTCCAGCTGGCCGCTGCGCTCCGCCAGCAGTACGTCCGTCGGCGTCCTGCCGGGGCGGCGGCACGGTCACGGACACGCTCCGGTCTGCCCGCGGCAAGCACTGAATGCCACACGAGCACGCACGGTCAGCCGTCAACCCTCTGACGTCCAGCGATCCTGCCATCCGCTGACTGGGATCATCTGTGGCAACCTGATTCGGCCAACGGTGTCAGCATAGCGCGTGCTGGCCTGCTCCTTCTAACATCCTGACCTGATCCTTCCAACAGCGTGGCTGTCATCTTGCTGATACACTTCTCCCAATCCGTGAAGCGTCACCCGTACCCAGCTTACACACCCTGGTTAGTGTCGGTCGACGACACTCCAAGCGGGAAACACGTTCGAGCACACGATCTTGTGCATGTGACCGTAGCGCACGTTCTACGGAGTGATTTGGGGAATAATATGAAACGCCGTGTACGTCGTTGCGTGCATTTTATAATAGATCACAAGCGACTACGATTGTCACAGTGGCACTCAGGGTTCAAGGCACAAACAAATTAAAGCCCGGGCACTCCAGTGGAAGCCGCTGTTCCCAATAACCCGGCCATTACCCCCCCCCCCCCCTGCCCACCACACCTTCCAGTTGAGTTAAGCCATGCCCAGATCGATTGTGTGGTCACATGGGGTAGGTACCGTGGACGAGCACAGCGCACGTGCTTTCTTTCGCGCCACGCGTCAGCACAGCCGCAACCCTGCAAGACAGAGTTGGGTGCCAACTTGAAAACCGGGCAGATGACTGCTCCAATACAACCCCGAGCATGACGCAGTCGGTAAAAAACGTCCGTGACTGGCGTCCGCGGGCTTTATCCGGATCGCCATTGACACAGGCCGCTCGTCGATCGCTCCAACCGGCCAACGCCCGGCTGCGGCGGCCCGGGACGGCCCGGCCGTCTGTCACAGCAGCGCACTATTCTGGGCGCCCGGACACCTCGGATCCAGAGGTGTCGGGACCTGACCTGCACTCGTCGAACTCCACAGTCAGTGCCGGTCGGAGATTCGCTGATCTGACGCTGTTATCTCACAGTGGCCTTCGACTCTTTTGTAATGACCATTCAACTCAATTCTCCGAACCACCATACGATCACGTTTTGGATGCACACCATGTAAGACTAGAACGATATAAATAAGAACTTCAGATAAATTTGGCTACAATACACCTTGCTGGTAAGTATTACGGTGGCAATCGCTCAAGCCCAATATTACTAAAAAGAGCCCAAAACATTTTGATCTGCCGACAAGTCCACACTCAAAACCTATGTGACTGGTTGTAAGAAACGCTTAGCCGAAGAGCATTAAAGAATAGTAAATTTACCAAGAAAAATATGACGAGTGTGGAACATTTGGCATTAACATGCGCCCGGGTGGCCGGCAACCCTTCGGTTAATAGCCGTCGCTCGTGTGAAGGGTCAATTCGACCCCCCTGAGATCGCAGATAAAGAGAAAGAGCTAAGAAAGAAAGCTAAGCCAAGAGCTAAGACAAAAGCTAAGAAAGCCAGGGACACCATATTCACAGGGTGCGATGGCCTGTAGTCAAACTCCAGATTGGTATCCAAAGTGCCCCCAGCCCCTCTCATGCAACCACCGTAAACCTAGATACCTGTTCTAAGGAAAAGGTCACTGGCACTCATTTTAGGTAAGTTATCTTGTGTGACCTTTCAGAGGTCATGGCGATCAAAATCATGCAAGGCTGCTTTGATTTTTGCATTTGAACAAGCGTCAAGGATTAATCTAAGCATTATGCCCCTAAAACAAAATGTTGACCGAGGTCATTTTAGATCAGTAACCTTCTCTGATACTTAAGAAGTCCATGGAAGATGTGTCATGCGGTCCCTATTATCAATAAATTTAAAATGAGCACCAGAAACTACCCCATGCAGTACGCTCTTAGAGTGACAACACAGGACGGTTTTGGCTTAGGCCTGACCTTTGTGCCTAGCCCTAGGTCATTGGAATTTGATCATTCATTAGTCGCGTCGCCTTGGAAACTATCACAGATATGTGTGGCTTCATCCAACACTCCGTCGTTGCATCAAATTGAAGAATTCTCCAAATATTGCGTTTGCTAAATCCATGGCCTGGCTTTGACCTGCCGTAGGTCAGTGACCGTAAAATGTATATCTAAATTTGCGATACCAAACGACCGCTATTCGATTGCGCGCAGCTCTGCAATCTTTCAGTCAGTGAGCCGATAAGACCTGCACTGACCTGATCCTACAGTCGGTGAGCCGGTAAGACCCGTACTGACCTAATCCTTCAGCCAGTGAGCCGTTAAGACTTGTACTGACCTGATCCTACAGTCGGTGAGCCGTTAAGACATGCACTGACCTGATCCTACAGTCGGTGAGCCGGTCCGCCACCAGATCCGCGTGCACCATCTGCAGCAGGCGGCCGTCCAGGTAAGCGGCACCCTCCGTCTCCACCGACCGGCCGCCGGCGTAGGGCTTGCACGCCGCGTAGCTGTAGTGCTGCCCGTGGAAGGACGGGATGGTGCGGTAGCTGCGCAGCATGCACTCCAGCTCCTGCAGACCGCGGCCCGTGGTGCGCTCCTGCAACAGCATCAGCTCATGCAGCTGGCTGCTCCCGGAGCGCAGCTGGCACAGCGCCTCACAGCGGACCACCGTGTGAGGAAGACAACTGGCAGCCAAGCCAGTGGAGGGGGGAGGGGGCTATGACGTTTCACATGTGGCTCATCGCAGGCGGTCAACTCCCAACTGGAGGTGCCGGTAGTGCAGTGTTTTCACTGTGCGTTTGGGAGGCCAGAGGCACGGAGTTCAATTCCTCGCAGTTCACGCCTCTCCTGTCGGGGCGAGAGGCAGGCGACGCCATAAAGCCTCAGCTCAGCTGAGTGCGTCTTAAAGCCTCAATGACGGCCATTCCCCATCCAGCACAAATGGGTAAGGAGAACAGCGGTGCCTTTAAAAATATCAGACGTCACATCGCATTGTATACTACCCGACAACAGCAAACATGGTGCAATAAACTAGAACTGCAATGGAGCGATGGGGTTAGCGGTGCAATAAACTGGGACTGCAATGGGGCAATGGGGTAAGAGGATGTCGGGCACGGCGGAAGGTCAACATTGGTTTGACCTCCAAAAATGCATACAGATTCATCAGCTTACACCCAAAAGTTATCAAATCTTCACCAAAATTGGAGAGTGCACTCACACCCCGCGGTTTTCCGCTTGGCAAATCTGCCTTCAGAGTTTTCCGCTTGGCAAATCTGCAAATCTGCCTCGCGGCAGCTTTACCTTCAGAGGCCACGGACGTTTCGAGTCACGTGGAGGAATGCAAAGGTAAAAGACATCTACTCAAATCACCACGCGCTGAGTAGATACTGACAAAGTGAACATTGTCACCAGCACACCACGTGCTTTGGCCTCCACATGTCACACTGGTTTGAACGAAGTGACATGACACCCGGCTCATTTGAGGTTATTTAAAGAACATCGGTCTTCCACGCAGGCCTCAACCTGAGCTCAGAAAACTGCTAAGAAAGAGCGCAACCAGCAGTTTCAAAGACATCGAACGAGCGACCAGAAGAAGATTACAACCGCGTGTCGACAAACGACATCTAGCTTGATAGCTAGCAGCCATCGGTCACACATCTGTGCGTTCTCTGACGCCTCTGGACTTACCAGCACCTCTACAACGTCACGCAGAATCTCCTTGTCCTGCTCAACAATGACGTAACACTTCAGCTTGCCGCAGACCTTGACATAAAGCGTGGCCGGCGTAGTGCGGTGGGGCGGCTGCGGCTGCGGCGCGGCCGGGGAGCACTGGCCGACCTCGCTCACCAGCTGGGCCAGCTGCCGCGGCCGCCAGCCACCCTCCTCTCCGTCGCTGAAGAAGCGCCGCCGCGGTCCACGCGCCAGGCCCACCGGCCGCGCGCTCTCAGAGGCGTAGCCGGCGCCGTCTGCGCGCCACGGTCGCCACGAGAGAGTGCGGCCCAGCGAAGGCAGCGGAGAGGTGCGGGGCGCCGGCGCGCCGCCTGGCCGCGGCGTGTAGAGCCGGTTGGAGCGCGGGATGCCGAAGCTGTACGGGTTGGCCGGCACGGCCGTGAAGGTCGGCTGGTTGTCACGCAGCCGCGCCTGCAGCTTGCGCAGCTCGTCTCGGTACAGGTCCGGCTGTTTGCACTTCAGGTAGGCCAGGTTGGAGAACGGCTCGGGCACGTCCAGATCGGAGAGGCTGCGCCGCGGCCGGCTGGAGCGCTGCCGCGGCAGTCGGCGCAGCCGCCGCACCGGGATGTCGTCCACCCGCGGCGGCGCCGTCGGCTCGGCGCGCGCGCACTCAGCCGAGAGTGCCTGCAGCGCCAGAGCGCCGATGAGACGGCGCACGGCGCGCGGCGAGTCAGCCGGCTCGCCGGCGGCGGCGCCCCCAGTCTCGACCGACGCCGGCGTCGGCTGTTCCGGCGGCTCGGGCGTCGGTGTCGGCGGGGCGGCGCGGCGCCGGCGGCGTCGACCGCCGTTCGGTCGGATCCCCCTGACGTCGGCGCCGTCCTGCGTAGAGCTGCTATGCGAGGCCGTGTGACGGGCCGCTTCGGCCACCCCCTCCGGCCGCTCCTCGATCACGTCCAGAGGCGCCACGTCACTCGATGCCGTGGGCAAAGACGCCCGCTGCCAACAGACCGTCGAAGCTCAGCATGCAGGCCGACGTAGAACACAGAACACAGGCGGGCAATAGCAAAATGGCCACTGACTTGGGCAAGTTCCTTAACCGAGACACACACGACGTGACAAAGAAGCTGTCACAGTGGGTACTGACGCAGACCACAAGTCATTAGAAGGCATGGGTTATTCAAAGTAAGGGAGCATAACACGCCGTCGCCGCAAACAAATACATCGGTGTTCGCTGCATTCGCCTGATCCACCACCGCTTAGGGATGGCAGGAGCTCCAGACCGTCTCACGGTCTAGCTCTGAACAGCTCTGAACAGGTTCATCAGCTAACAATTACGCCGTCGCTGGCGGTGTAGTGGTTCGGACACTGTCAGCGGCATGGCCAGCACTCCCGACCCCGTCAGTCGACGCCCCGTCACCTTGGCGCGCGGCCCGCTGTTCTTCCACATCGGCTCCGCCTTCTTCTGCAGCGTGCGGTACGCCTGACTAGGGACGTGCACAGCGGCCAGCATGGTGGCCGGCGGCAAGACAAAGTCGACGTCCACCAGCGCGAACGCGTCCTGTCGCCGACCAACGCCGCCAACCGGCGGCAAAGCATTCTGTCACGAACCGAACCCTCCGTCCCTCCCTCACACGTACAGTATCATTCACGGAAACACAAAGCATTCTGTCACGAACCGAACCCTCCGTCCCTCCCTCACACGTACAATATCATTCACGGAAACACAAAGCATTCTGTCACGAACCGAACCCTCCGTCCCTCCCTCACACGTACAATATCATTCACGGAAACACAAAGCATTCTGTCACGAACCGAACCCTCCGTCCCTCCCTCACACGTACAATATCATTCACGGAAACACAAAGCATTCTGTCAATAACCGAACCCTCCGTCCCTCCCTCACACGTACAATATCAGTCACGGAAACACAAAGAACTGCGCGCGCACAAACGTAGCAAGTACCTGGGCATCAGTTCGGTGGGCACTCTCCCTCAAGGAAACAAAATCAGCACAGGAAAAATGCGAAAATGACTCCATATTCGTGTCATGCGCTGCAACAAAGGGACATCCGTTCACTACTGTCACTCCCCAACACAGCGTTTAGTCAACCTTTCCGGCAAAGTATAGGCGTTCGTTACCTCCTTTTACCAACCGGCTTATCCATAACTAAACCACAGCCATAATGGCCACAACGTTGGCGTGTCACGCCGCACTTTGAACCAATTTCCTCCACAGAGAGTGCGTCACCTACCTCTGGTAGCCAATGAATGAAAACCAGAACCTGGGCGATCTCTTCGATGTATTCACTTGATATGACCCTAAAAAATACGCATAGGGTCAGCAAAGCGTACCAAAAACGGAACCCAACCAAGTCAGCTGTAATCGGACTGAGCAGAAACATGTCATTTATGACGTGAAAGGATCCCAACAGCGTTCAGACATACTTTCAAAGAGCAGCCTTTGAATCAAACTATGACAGCATAACATATCAGATTCTTGGTGAGCAAGTGATGAGGGGCGCTAGCTGGTTCTCTAAAACAGGTTCCCAACAAACAGGTCCCAGAGTTCAAGGTCACTGGGCGCAGAACTTTGATGCAATAGTAGTTTGGCACGTTACTACAGCTTGACTTACGCATTCGAACAAGGTCAAAATGCTCAGCTGCACATACACAACTCTCTGGTAAATAGGACGTCCAAATTCACGATAAATGACATTGAAATCCTGCACTTGTCCGGAAAATCGTAATTATGACACATGGACACGCCTAAATATTTTCGTAACGATGGATGCCGAATTCACCGAAGGTGGTAACAGGAGTCGCCATGGAGGTCAATCAAAAGTCTTCCCTCATGTACATGGAGCATTACACATCTTTCACGACACTTCTCTTGTGCTTTCTTTGGGGCCTCCGACAATCGACATGGCACCATGCTGGTTTGTGAACTAATGCGTTCTCGTCCCTTGACATTTCGACACCCTTCAGTTAAGCCATGTCAAGTTAAGCGACCGGTATGCTATGATTTCGAACCGGCCGATTTCGTCACGTAACAATTGAGATCAGATACGAACTCCACCTGGACAGAGCCATAAGTGTTTAAGAACCATCATCCTCTTTCACACTGCGGGGAGGATCCAAACAGCCATTTTGTCACGCTTTGGGACGACATTTTGACGTGACGGACTAGGATGGACGGAAAACCCTTACAGTTTATACTCTCTCGAGACACACACTTAGACTCCTTCCGATCGCTTCCCTTTACTTGATGTTCGCATACTTAACTTCACTTAACTTCACTTTACTTTGCTTCATTCCCACGGATCCCACATTTGCTGAGGGAGAGGTACAGGCCCGCACAGCGGCGTAGACACGACTTCGCCAGGAGCGAGTCCTATCCCAGAATACGCGACCATTTCAGCCACGTGGGCACCATTTCATCACTATAGGAGCCTTGCTTTCATGTTCAGAAACATTTTTAAGCTCGGGGTCCTATTTTAATATATCAAGGGACTGGTTTTGATGTTTAAGAATCAATATGGACATCTTCAACTGTCCACAAGTACAAGTGTCTTCGGCCACAGGTCCTCCAACTCCGTCAGCTTCAGAGGAAGGACAAAGTCCTAAAAAGTCTATCGCCTGGCTACGCCGCTAGGCCCTTGCGTACGCCTCTGTTCACATGGCTCAATTTTGGTGTTGTGACCCACGTCAGGCGGGGGGGGGGGGGGGGGAATGGAGCTAAGTTTAATTGGAAACACGACACTTTTCGAGATGTCAGTTTTCAACGTCTGTGATCACTGACTGCAAACACTGCTGTTGGGCAGGCCGCGTGCACCTGCGCACCGACAGGGGGCGCACGGGGGCGCAACCAGCATCCGGCCGGCAGAACGGACAGCTCGGCAACAAATCCTTTTGAAAACATGGCACTGGTGAGTGTCGACAAGACACCACGTCACCATAGCTGTTTGATGAGCATGTTCATTTTTGAAAGGCGGCAAACATTCCAGCCTAAATTGGTTAGTGCTAGCCGGTGCTAATCAGATTGTATCCCCCCCCCCCCCCCCTAGTGCTTCTCAGTGTCATGGGCCGCGCAGGCCGCATCTATAGGTCACTGGTAAGTCCGAGTAGAAGCGAGCTTACTGTCCATCCCAGCAGACAATGCAGGCAAGAACGCCGGCTACTGCCGAAGCCGCCGTCTGCACCTCAGACAGCTGCTGCCCAATGAAGTCGTCCTTCTGAGGGCAGCATGACGACAAACACATGAGCCGGTCGCTATTCCTGTGAATCGACCTGGTACTGTGGTGGCCGTTACTGCACTCATTCTGGTGCAGCATTACTGGAGGTATTTAGGAAAATGGATTGTTTTAGACACAGCGTGAGCCTTCATGACCACTTTCAGACTGAGTCCAGGCGGGGAGAGAATGGTGTGCTTCGCGGACCTCCGGACCTCGGCCACATAACTTCCGGCTGCATCGTCGATCGAACGAAGACTTTCGCCGGCGCCGTTTCACATTATGGTCCACAATAGGACCACACACCTTCCACTATGGTGAATATATTGTCATTCAGAGCATATGTGCAGCGTGAAGTGTCTGGTACACCGCTCGGAGCTCAGCATTAACAATGTGGGCAGAGTACGTAGAAAAAGTGTCGTCGGTGATGAGTGTAAAGAAATAAATGTGCAGACAACAAGCAAACTGAACTTACTTTACGAACGCGCAGGAGCTGTAACATAGCTCCAGAGCCTATGCAAGTATATCTAATGCAAGTATATGATCGTAGCCTGAAAAATTGGCAGATACATACAATTCTGGCCGTACTGATGGAGCGAAGGGCGTTAATCCCGGCCATTTATACAGGATTAGACGGACATTCCCGCGCTGACCACCACATTACTGCAGGTGACGTAAGTTATGGGTACTACCTGGCTTAGATTTGCGCAGCTGTGTGAGAAAAAAAAAACGTGCAAGCAAAACGGGCTCTTCTTGGGCTGGTAAACAAAATAATGTTGTGGGGGATCGCATCCATCCTACTGGGGTGAGACGATAATGGAAATATATACCGGGATGAGGCATAACCTGGTGAAATGTGGAAGGCTCACTATGTTCCGTATTCTTGAGCACTTACCCGATTGTCAGCATAAATGTGTTGTCTAGTTATCGAACTAATCATGATATAAATGCGCTCATACTGAACTCAAAGATCGGCCAAGAGGACCAAGGCTCGGGAAATCTCACGAACAGATGGTGCGCAAGGATTCCTACACAGCATTAGTCAAAAAATGTAAATACAAAATCGTTCGTTATTACGCTATACCAATCATTACAGGCAATACTACAACAGATTACTCAAACTCTAATTATCATCCGAACGGAGAGATATGCAGCGGGGTCAAAACGCATCTTAGTCACCGATTCGCCGACGAAATATGACACAATCGCCGTTACGTCCGTGAAAAGGCCGCCCATAACCAATAAGATCACTTACTCCAGCCGACGAAAGCCAATTCACTTGTTACGTTTCCGTCAAATAAAAACGAGCCTGGACACAGGGGCGGATCCGAGGAAGAACACAGAGTACAAAAACAAACTTAAAAGGCGGTGGGAAACGCCTCAAATTGCCATACTTTTGCCTGCTTTTACAGCAACTGACGTCGAACTCGGATCGTGCCCCCTCCCCCTCCCGCAATGGTCTTTGACTCGCCTAAGATCTGATGTTGGGTCAGCCCCAGCCTAGACGTGCATAATGAATGAGACGTCAGAAGTTCTTGAAATAATCGGGAGCGCACTGCCATCGCCCACTACAATACAAAGCACTAGGCACAGAAAAATGACTGCCTCTACTCGGAGCTTATTTGGTCGTGATGGTCCACCAGCTCATAGCTCGCATCGATAAAAATCACGACTACACCGGGGTCTATTACTGGGGACAAGTAGGCCGCCGCACTAGGTTTAGCGCCTGCAGCCCTCAGCCAACCTTGGCCGCACAAAGACGAAAATAGTCGGTGTCGCGGTTGCATCGCAGCAGTCGTAGAGCCCTCAATGACAAATCCCAGCACGACCAGCCCAGACAGTGAGTGCTAGTACTGTGACCCACTTTGGCCCAGTCGAGGCGAGGCAGGGCGTCGAAGATGCGCTCGAGCGGCGGCCGTGGCCTCGTGCCGGTCATCAGGGGACACAGGGTGCGCCGCAGTCGCCGCCGCAGCGCCGCCCGGTCGGCCGCCGACGCCAGCAGCTCCGCCAGGCCGCCGTGCAGCAGCTGCAGCACCTGGCGCGCCATCGCCAGCTGGCGCCGCGTCACGTACGTCTCGTCCTCGCTCGAGGTGTGCATGGCCTGAGGGCACGCCGACTGGTCGGTCAGAGGCCTCACCGACAGATGGACGGGTGGAGGCATGGACCGACCGATGCACGCGTACACGCATTACCCCAAGCGCACACTCAGACACTCCCCCCCTACACACACACCCATATATGCACGCACCCAGACAACCACACACCACGTACGCATCCACGTCCACACCCACATCTATATCCACACTTGTCTTCACAGCAAAAGAACGTGTAGCAGACTTCGCAAAATATGTTTTCACGCCGGCACAGGCATAACTGTGCGAGATTTGCGGATTTGCAGATTTACAGATTGGCAGATTTAGGCGTTTTAGCCACGAGACATTACATCTCTCGGAACATGATGGTGGTAAAAACCGAAGTCCAAATAACGCCGACGTTCGCCTTTTAGATTACAATAATACAGCGAAGGCGTTCACAGCGCATTGCCACCACTGCACCACCACTGGCCGGATATTTACTAGGGTAAATTGTATACTAAGGTGCCCCAACAAAAGCGGTACACGTAATTGGTTGCAAAAAACTAGCAACTCATCGGTAGAAAGGTTTCTGATTTAAGCATTCACTCTTGCGCATCTCAGCAAACAGAAGTTTCTGTTTTTTTTTTCAGTTTTTGGACAAGTAGCTGGGAACGTCCTCTCGCGCAGATTCCGCATGAGATAGTGGATTGACAGGAGAATGAATGTTGTCTATTCGTTGCTAGCTGTCGCGCTGTGCACTGATGGGTCACAGAAGGTAAATATCTAACTATGTTCTGGTAACGTCATTTGTCAAATTCAGTCAGATTGTTTAGCACGTCCATGCCGGTTTGCTACCCGGGTCCATGACATGGCATAACACCCGATAGAGTATTGTCAGTTAGACCCTCCCTGGTACCTCAACTTCTCCAGAACAACGCTCAGGAGCAATGAACCGCTGATTTTGCATTCAGGAGCATCGACCCAAGTTTTAAGGAAGGATTGAGACCAAACGTTAGAATCACGGATGGAATAACCATTTGGACTATCGTCTTCACCGTATGTGTTTGCTACACAAGGTTTCGGCCAGCTTCCGGTAACCGGAAGGGGTTATTGAGTCCTCAGTAGGACTCTTTGGACGCACACTGTTCTGTAAGCCACGCGTCAACAAACTGATGGGGTTGCAACCCACTGGCATGTGTGCAGCCTCCTTGATCATTCAAACTTCCCAGTGCTGCTCTCCGTCGGCGCGGGTCATCTCATTCGATCCTGGGTGGTGGTCGCCCCCCGACCATGCACGTTTTTGTCACACCAGGCCCCAGGGCACCACGCCGGAGCCTTTCTGTGCTCTTGCAGTGTGATCGACAGAGGGCGGCTTCTCCTTTGAAGGGCCTACCACATCTGCGTAGGTATGCCGTGTGTGCAGTGCTTTGTATCCCTAGAGCGTTGAGCTGTTTCTTATATCCGTCCTGGTGCTTTTCGTCCACAGATTCGACTGATCGCCTCTGACAAGTCCTGTTGTACGGTTATACTGTCAATTTTGTCGTTTTCCTATTACAGCCCAGTTTGTTCAGCATGCTACCTTGCCTTAAACTTACCAAACACGAATTAATCGTGAGCAAATGCAGCTGACCGATGTATTTCAAGGGGTTATACAAGAATGGCATATTCCTAGCTTCCTGTCTAAAAACCATGATGAAACAGATGATTAATTTTCTCGGTCCCAAAAAAGGAATAGCCTAAATCGAACGCCTGCGCTCACGAAAGTTACTTGTTATTTACAATCAATTCAGCGATCAAGTTTTTGTTGCAGCATGTTTACTTCTGACGACCCACCCTACAACTTACCCACATGAAGAGGCCTTCCCTGTGCGGCACCAACTTACGACCCACCAACACGACCCTACAACTTACCAACATGAAACGACCTTCCCTGTGTAGCACGAGCTCACGACCCATCCTACAACTAACCCCCATTAAGCGGCCTTCCCTGCGCACCACGAACTCACGACCCACCCAACAACTTACACACATTTAAGCGGCCTTCTCTTCGCAGGACGAGCGGACGACCCACCCCAAAACTCACTAACATGAAGCGGCCTTCCTTGTGCAGGACGAGCTGGCGACCCACCCTACAACTTACCCATATGAAGCGACCTTCCCTGTGCAGCACGAACTCGCCGTGGTGCAATCGGATGCGCACGGGCAACGAGGCCATGTTGCGCTCCGCGAAAAGGGCAGTGCCCATGAGCTGGCAGACCAGGTGCAATGCGTCGCTGCGCACGGCGCCCGCCTCCTCTTCGTCCTCTTCGCCGGGATGCAGGAAGCAAATAGCCTCCGTTGGGTCGTCCGCCTCATGTTGACAGCATTCGGTGTCGTAGATGAACACCATGCGACCGAATCTGCAAATGTGCAGCATTATTATGCAGGATTGCGTTCAATCCCGCTTTATCCCGACCGACTGATGTGAAGTTTCATGAATACATTCCACGAGTTAACATAGATGCACATGTATAAAATGATATCCACACACCTAAAACGCCGTCTCAGGTAAAAGGCACCCCCAGGGCACTTTGAACTGTGATGAACTTGAGTGGGAGGGGGGGGGGGGGTGAAGGTGCAGGGCAAGCAGCTGAACACATACCAATACATATTTTTATAGGATTTCAGATACTGCACTGTATCATTAAAACAAATGGGTTATGATTTATTGCTAACAGCCCTTGTCGAGAGCATGTTGGTCGATGTGTTGTCCGAAAGCCGCTGGCATGTCTCCCAGAGATAACGATCTCACTGGACACCACATGCACAAACATCAGGGAGGATCAACCCCGCACAGGTTGACCACGGCATACAATTTTGTGAAACAAATGATCCCTTCTCGGCATGCATGGCATGAACCAAGGTCAAAATTATTTTGCTACTGGAGGTACGCCATCGCGTTAACACGTTAAACAACCTTATTAATGGAAAATCATCTGTTAAATTGGAGCCTCATGCCTGAATGGGTAACTTGGCATTAAAAAACACAAGTAAGCTCTGTGGAGCATGCATCCTAGCTAAACGCATGGGAAAATATTTGGCACATTCCTAGGGAATATGGAGAAAAAAAGAATATGAAAAGGAACATAATGCACACAAAATTGCAATACGAGCGCCGCGGGAGAAAACGTTGTGAACACGACGGCGCATAAGCCGACGGGCTACCTGATGTCTTGGCCTTAAGGTTGCATGAAATATACCACATGGCGCTCAACACCGCTGAACACCTTGCTCCCGCCCAGAGCTTGCATGATACTTTACCACTATATCACCAACTTTATGATCCCTTCTTCTTCGGATATGCACGCACCATACTGGACAAATTCGACAGACATTGCTCTGATTTCAACCAGAAGCCTTCCAACTCCCGAGGCGTGCGGTGCGGCGGCCGCTCCTGTAAGCCATCCACGCGGTCGCCAGTCGCGGCCAGGCCAGCCCTGCTCCGGTTCGGTTCGTCAGGCAGGCAAGTGCAACAGAGCACATATCACGCGTCCGCTAACCAAAATCCGACTGACGGGCAAGCATGCTGCATTAATCCTTTGTACTGGCTGAAGTGGCCTCATGAGGCGCGAAAGCACGCGGTCGCAGAGGACGAAACCACTCGGATCATGTCAGTTTATTACCATTTCCAACACTGAAACCTATGAAGCCGCTTGAAGAGCAGCTTCAGAAGTAACCAAAGACCTTAGTTGCAATCAATTGGTGAAAGTGCCCGCAATCACCAAGAATTCAGGGAGGTCAAGAGACTGCAAAGCTTGCAACCTGAGGGGGTCTATGTGGTCAAAAATCCAAACATAGCTATAGGGCCACTGCTGGCGCTTTCAGGGTCTCTTGCAAAAACATCTGAATACTGAGGCCCAGGAAGGGCCCTTTCATCCATGTTGGCCAAGGGCTTTTGGAGCAATCAAAAGGTTTGAAAAGGTCCAGAGAAACTCTGGCTGTCAAGAAAATCCCAACCATGGCCAAGAGAGTGAAAGGCACTTAAAAAGCCTTCCAAACAGAACTAGAATTAGCTGTGAAAACATACCAAGGCCTCCAAGGCACACCAAGGTCAGAAGTGACCCAATGCCACACAAATGCTCTTCACATCCAGGGATGACCAGTGTTTTTGACGGACAAGGGAATCCCTGTCAAGACAGTAACATTTACAAACCCACCAAAGACCTGGCCCAAAGGCCAAGGGTTAGAGAGAACAAAGGTGACTCCAAAACAATCAACATGCTGCACATGTACATGCTGACAGTCCCTAAACACTAGGTAAGTCTGTGATGAAGGCCCAGACAACCAAAGGCCATATGACAAAATCATGGCCCAATGGCATCAAAAATTGTGATATGAAAACTTTGAAATGTGCATCATTGATTTGGAACTTGGACTTCACAACTCACTCTGCGGCTGGAACTATATGACACTGTCACCTGCCTCCCACCTGAGCACAAAGGGCAGGCACCACAACGAACTGAGCCTGTCCTCCGATTTCCTGACCCGATAGGGGTTAAGCAGCAGTTAAAGCAGACTGCAGATGCACAACTGCAGGAAGGGAATCAAACCCGGTACCTCTGGTTTCCCAAATGTGTGCAATGGTTGAGCATAATGCAGACCACACATGTACCAACCACTACACTAACACTTAACTAGTGGCACCCCTTGAAACAAGTATAAAAACAGTGGCATTTGTAAGGTGAGACTGAAATTTTGCAATGTCCAGATCTCAACACCTGATTCCATTCCTAATATAAAACTATGAGAGCTTCTATACAAGCAGGTAATATTTACCAATCAAACTATGTGAACAGTTTGGTATATTATGTAGTATACTGTGTACAGGATGATATACAGTGTATTGTGATGCATGGGATTAACTGTCAGTTTGTTTTATTTAGGTCTTCCCTCCCCAAAGATCCCAGGGGTGCTAAGGCAGTGTCCCATTAGGTTTGGATTTCACTTTGACCAGATGAACCAAGGGTTAAGGCTAAGCATTTCAATTGGCTTTGGTTGAATGGGCTTTTTTTAATTGTTAGCCAAGTTCTCTACCATTATTCACAATCATCATTATGGTCTTAACTCCTCTTATTTGGTTTTCAGCCCACCATTTATGCTCTTTAGGCCAAACCCAAAACTGTTTAAGTGATGAAAGGTACCTAAAAGGCACCAATGATGGAGATCAGTGATGAGTAACAACTTGTGTACCATCACAAGTATTTACTCTGTGAGTTTGATGTATTACACTGGTGAGAATGGCTACTGGTGAGATGTAACTAACAACAAAAGGACAACATTGACTGTACAATAGCATGAGTGTCCCTGACATATGACTAAGCAGCATACCACACCAACACCTTCTAGCTTTTGTATATATATATAGAGGGTACCACTGCAATCCACCCACCCCAGCTGCAGTTGGCCTGGCTACCTTGCCCAAACCCTCCAGTACCTGAACGCTGGCTATGCACCCAGGTGAGAGCGGGGGCACCTAATCTGATGCGCACTTCTGCACGTAAATTCGCTGATTTGAAGGAAGTGTGCTCAACCACCATAGTTCCAGTCACAACATACAGCGACATACCCACCTTAGAATCTTCTCCATTTTGCTTATTGTTCTCAAGTACCCTGTGCTAAGCCATCTGCAGGCATGTGGTGATCTTCAGGACATCCTCCTCCTTGACCCTGATACTTCGATCCTTTGATCCTAACAAACATTAACCTTGATCCTAACCTTAATCCCTTTGACGCAATGTTATGTAAACGAGCGTAGCGCTGCGGCCCGAAAAGGTGTGACATGGCAATTTAGCGGCAACGACCGCACGGTGGCTGTGACGTAATTTGGGTTTTGGTGGCCGGTGGGCCATAGTGCACGACGTGGATGTCCAAGGAGCGAACTGGAGATGAGCACTTGTCCTCACGGCGCGGTAGGACGTATGGCATGGAAGCATCTGAGCATGCTGGCAATAACAACCTCCGAGGCCATTTCGCGAAGTGGCTACGGAGCGCAACATGCCGTACACAGCAATGCAAAAGCTTCCACACATCTTGAAAAATGAGCACCTAGACGTACCAGCTCATTCACGAACATTGCTGACCACGGCAACAAGTATTGACGTTAAAAGCTAAGCTGGTGGTTACTAGCTTCACATGGTGTGCAGAAACTATAGTATAGATACATGGACAGTCTGGGTGGGCCCTGGCTAAATGATAACACGCCTCGAAGCACCTTGCCAAGGACCCCTTGTTAGGCATTTTGGGCCCATCATTGACTTGGGTCTCTACCAATGTAACTCGCGGGACCCGGCTGTGTCCCTGCTTGGAAAATGGGCCCTCAGGCCCAGACCGACACGGAGCCGAATGTTTGGTACTCGTAGCGTCTGATCAAAGAAGTCCTCGTCGAATCAGGGGCCCCCAATTGTCACCATGGCGTGCGGGCTGGAACCCCTTAATATGACATCTGTCCATCCTTTCCGGCTCTCATGCCCTTAAGCCAGACCGTTCCGAGGGGCCATTCGGGTGCCTCAGGACCTAAGGGCGGCGGACGTTCAACCACCTGCCTGGCACCACCGTCCGGTAGCGGTGCCCGGGTATTTTGCTGCACTACACGCTCCTGGGTGAAGACGATGTAAATTACAGATTCAAGGTTGCACGCCCTCTTCCATCAACGTAAAATATCGTACCATTTCAGCCTGGCGTTTTGTAAGTCAGCAATATACAGGCGTGAGTCAGCACCGATCCGACAGCATCAGGCAACACCGGGAGCGAATGCAGCAGCACCGGCCACCGGAAATCGCTGGGCAGCAAATCTGCGGCATCGGCCACCGGGTAGTACCGGGCAGTGAATCCGGCAGCACCGATGCTCAAGAACCAGGTGCATGTGCATAATGTATATGTATATACGAATGTTCATGCTTCTGTTCGTGACTGTGACGGGCAGCGTCGTCATCGCTGAATGTGACGGTCGGGCCGTGAGCACAGCGGCGTGTCAACGCGCCGACCGTCCAGCTCGCCGACGCTGTCACGTGTGACGTCACCATCGCCAACTGTGGCGGCCGGCGGATTTTTGTCGCCGACAGCGGTAACCAGAACAGTCCGCTACAGTTCGATGAAAGCGCCATTCATCACAATTAGCATTGGCTTTTATATTATCGTTGGAAGATCCCTTTGCGATTACATACATTGTGTCGTGCAGGTATTCGTTATATCTATGAACAAGGGCTAAACGTCAAGCAGTGCGCATAACAATCGCCATGGTCCAAATCGGCAGTCCGGGACAAGAATGCCGTGTCGGATGAGCAGTTACGTTGATCAGGGAGCACTCGTGACTTCCTCCTTGATGGTGAAAACGTTTTTTTTTTTTTAAATATTGTTCATTGCAGCAAAGCCGACGGCAGGAAGCGCCCGTGCAAGGTGCTGAGGGAACCGCCCTGAACGCAAGACCCGATTTCGTTCCTGATCCGTGCCTCCAACCGGGCATCACCAGCAGTTTTCTAGCAAATTTAGCACCAACCTGCTTCTCGACACCTGGCGCCACAGGTGTCTGAACTTAAACTGTCCAAACCTTGCTACGTAGCAACGCCTTGCTTTTGCCGTCGATGCAGATTGAGCCGGCGAAAAGCATGCTTATTGAGTTGGTATTCTTGGAACTGCCAACGAGGTCTCGTAGTAGGTATGGTCCCAGTCATCATCACATGGTCGATTGAGTTGGCGCACGTTCTTCCAAATGGTTGGTCAAACTCCATGCAATATCATGTAGAGCGAGACTGGAAGTGCGTTGTTCCTGAAAGTACGTTGTTCAAGCATGTATTACAAACATACACGCGAAAATATGCACCAACAAGGCAGCACACCAAAGTGTCCCCGTGATCCTAAACGATGGGCGTGCGATGACCAAAGAAATCTTATCACACTACCCCCGAGCCGTTCACGTAACTCCAAGCTGGACATTGGACCACGTCCAGCGACCATCATCCGGTCACATCACCAACTGCAGGACGTAACTGAACACGCAGGTAGAACTGCAGTTGGGAAAATAACAATCATTTTGAGAAGACTCACACATTCTATTGCAATAGCGATTTAATGCCACATCATTCAAGCAGCCATTTCTTCACCACACGTCAGAGAACACGCACGTGCCCGCCTCCACCGGCCAGTTTCAATAACCAATCCCGCAAACGACAGCAGATAAACACCTGGCACGTGGTTAGGCGGCCCAGCTCCACCTGGTCACGTCACCGCACGCCGCGTCGCCACACAACCATCCTCTGGGTGGCCCCAGTCCGCCGCCGTGCGTCGCACAGCCGGGCGGCCTCGTCAGCGCGCCACCTTCCCAGCGCCGTCCTCGCTGTTGCCGTCCGGAGCCTTCCCGCCGGCCGCCGACTCCGCGGCGGCAGCAGCCTTCTCAGGCGGCGCGGCGGCAGCAGCCTTCCCAGGCGGCGCGGCGGCAGCAGCCTTCCCAGACGGCGCCGCAGCAGCAGCCTTCTCGGCGGGCGCGGCGGCGGCGGCCTTCCCAGCGGGCGCGGCGGCGTCCGGCGCCTGTGGCGACGTCAGGGCGGCCGCCGTGGCTGAGGTAGCCGCCCCAGCGGGTGGGCCGGCTCCCGCCGGCATCGGGGCACGGAAAAAGTACAGCTGAAATGCATCATGAACCGGGTGACACACTCATCAGAGGGTGCATATGATGCTAAACAGGAGCACTGAAAGAAACACAATGCCATACGAACTACCCGCCACACGTCACAATGAACGTTCCACATCATGGCTTATAAGGGATCGATATGAGGTCATCGCGACACCGCAGACCTTTGTCTCGCGCAACACCGCACTGCACATGTGCTATGTTAACCTCGATGCAGCACAGACAGGGGTTAACTTTGTGACTCAGATCTATCTCGGGGCGGATGTTAACGTTGGGACCTCCCTTAGTACTTACACAAGGAGCCCCAGAGGAGCGGAAATTGCGGGCTTCGAAAAAGTGACATGACCCTAAAAATGCAGCATGCTTAAAAGCAATTATGGCGCCATAGATGCCCGCAGTGTGCATGAATGCGCATGTACATGAGCTCAGTTCTTTGCTGTTTTCCATCGCTTACGATGTTAAACTATCATTAAAACAGTTGCGCGGGGCCGTATCCAATGGTCATGGCAAAAACTTTGCTCCACATCTTAGCACCTCAAGGCACATCCCTCACGCCAGGTGTGGGCACATTCCCACCGACTCCGTGTGGCGCTGTCGGCCGTCCAAGGGCGGGTCGGTCGGCCAACCCGGCCCGAGGGGGGCGCCACTGACCAGGAAGCCGGCGGCCAGCGCCAGATGCAGCAGCAGCACGACCGTGGCCATGGCGAGCGCAGCGTTGCGGCGCTCCTCGCTCAGCGCCGACCACAGGCTGGTGACGAGCACGGCGCCAGACACGGCGAACCCGAGCAGCATCAGCGCCCACTGCAGCTGCCACACGCCCGACGCGCACAGCACCTGCCGGTCCGGCGGCCGCCGTCAGTCGGCGCGGCCCATAGTGTCGAGGAACTCATCGAAACCGGACGTCAGCTGCCACACTGCCGAGGCGCACAGCACCTGCCGGTCCGGCGGCCGCCGTCAGTCGGCGCGGCCCACACTGTCGAGGAACTCACCGCGGCCGGACGTCAGATAGACATGGGCCACCGGGGCCAGGACGGCAAACAAGCGCTGCGCATCGGGCGCCCACAGCTGACTCGCAGCAGACAATGCGCGATTTCCTGGGAAAGGCATGGCTGCGGTCGGCACAGCCTACCACAGGGCCCCGCGCTACACCGACACAGCCGCCCGCGGGCCAGCCACGCGGCGGACCGGAGCGTCGAGCGGCACACGGCCACCGCGCGCCGGCACCACTGACCGAGATCGGGATGTAGACGGTGAGCGAGTAGCCGTACAGGCAGATGAGCTGCAGCAGCGTCATGCTGGTCTGGGCGCCGCGCCACCACAGCGCCGCCCACAGCAAGACCGGCACCAGCCACGAGTAGCAGAACACCACCGTGGCGGCCAGCGTCACTGCCGCCCAACACAGCACATCAGACAACGGCTGCGCACGCGCGACACCAGAATCGTGCTGGGTCATATGAGAAGCCTATTTGTGCTCTTTTAGTGTATAAATGCAGGGTCATGCATGTATTTTAATAACCCACAGAAATAATAAGCCAGTTGAGCAAACAGTTCAGAATGTTATGATATGCAGCGAAATGGGACGCGTCCATATGCAAATATCAACATCACTGTCCGTTCCTTAAATTGATTCTGTAGTGCCGCAGGGAAGAAACAGAAAACAAACACTGCTCCTCAGAACTATAATGGCACCGACGCTAGTCGCACCTAGCCTGGTGTGCGCAGGCATCATAATGATCTGATTCCCAAGGAGGTACATCCCACCTGATGATGTACGAGAGCTGGTCAAAAGCGTGACCTCATGAACAACACATCGCTGATCAGTTTCCGGATATAACTTTCGAATTGATTACACCACCTGCTAAGCAGCAATCCAATCCAACGAACGAAAGTCAATACATTGTCATGACGCAATGACAGGCCTCCACAAAAATTCATCACGCAAACGTGTCGAACATATCCTAAGCGCGAGCACTTTATATACTGCCAGATCTTCGGGATACAATTTTTATCCAGGACTCACCAATTAACTAGCAAATGAGCAGTAGTGATTTGCAGCCAAATGCACAACAATTAAATGATGAATATCGTTTTATTACAATTATTGCCACTCTTTCCACAACAAACCATAGAGCCAAATTTGACAGCCGACTCAGCCTATCCCCATTCCACACTGTGGACAACGCATCTCACCGCCGCCCTCTACATATCCGGCTCACGCACGCTTGTGAAAGTCGTATCTCCACTTGTACTGCTCGCCCTGCGCCGCCACCTGCAGGTAGTTGGCCAGGTTGCCCATGACGGCGATCGAGATCACCAGCGTGACGCCGATCCAGAACGGCCCTGCGGCAGGGACGGGATCGCGCGTCAGGGCAGACCCGGCAGCGGCCTCCAGGGGCCGGGCGCACGGCCGGCCGCCCCGCGGCGGGCCCCCATAGCCGAGCGCTTTTCAGGACACATCTTGGTGTGCCACCTCCGCGGCATACAAATGCCGCGCACGCTGACGATGGGACAAAGGGGAGCGGGAGACCCACACCGCCAGCGGTGCAGGGTGGCCGCAGGTGCGCCGTGCCCCACCGCAAGCTCGCCACGAGCGCCAACGACCGCCACGCACCGTACAGGTCGGGGTTGTGCTGCAGCCGGTCGCGCAGGAAGTTGGAGCCCGGCTTCGGCACCATGGACCAGAGGCAGCGGTCGCGCACGTCACCCGTGTCCACGTTGAAGTATTTACGGTAGTACTCAACCGTCCAGATAGCGCCGCTGGCAGGCGCCTCCTGACCCAGCAAGCTGGCGGAGGGGGCATTGCATGACACATGTGCAGGTGGATGCCACCAATGCCACGAGCTAGGCTAACAGGCCCTGCATCACTGGTGGCTTCACAATGCCAGCTGCATTAACACAGACAGAACCAATCCAAATGTGAGTTGGCAGTCTCAGAAAAGCTTATCCAAAATCTTGAAAATGGTTGGCAAGTGCCCTCAGCTAAACATTCGAAATAACTGAGCTACAAGTAAAGCACCAGGAAATCGGTGTTCAGTTCAGATGGCCCCACATACCTTGTTCTGCTCCACATTTCCGTCGAGCTCGTCATCGTCAACAGCTGAGTCAGGAAACTGTTTGAAGGTGTGCGTTTGCTGATCTGACGTGTCCAGCTCCACCAGTGTACTGTCTTCCGCAAAATCTGGCAAAATGGCATGAGAGCTGACCATGGTGGCAGGGATATCACTACTGGAAGCAGCAGCAAGCCATCCCCTGGGACACTGCACGCCCTCTACCGGCGACGACGCCGATGCTTCTGTTCCCAAGTTTGTGTCTCCAAATTGTCTGGCTGACACACCAGAACACCAGTCTAGAAGCATATCACAGGTCTGCTTGAGATCCTGGTATAATTACTGTATGATGCTTCTCATGCAATAGCCCAATGGGAACTGGAGAAAGCTAAAAAAAAACTGAAGAGCCAGCAGAACTAGGACAAGGAAGTCCTAAATGGGGAAAAAATCATCAAAACATAAGGTTTGGACAGAGAAAATTTTAGCTTTGACATGTCTTTTGCAACTTGAATAAAACACAAAGGGAAGGTCATGCATTTGCTGCCAACCTTGTGCACATCATCAGTTTTGAGGGCAGACTTTGTTTTGCCCTGTATTTCTTGGGGTGTCATTAATGTGGCAGCACTCCCTCCAAAAAATGTGTGTTCATGCCCATGACAGTAACAGTGCAGCAGTCATTGCTGGATGTAACAATCCCTTTGAGTAAGCACCTACCACAACAAGGGAATGAGTGGGCGCAAAATGACCAGTGCAGTTGACGCACCCAAAAAGATCAATAAACAACAACGAGGGAATGAGACCCAAAGCAATGATTACCTTGAAAGCCAAAGTCTGAACTGGCTTGCTTGCTGGGGTCCATTTTGCTCTGAAAATGAACAGAATGTTGTGGGTCTAGGCACCTTCAATTCTTTCATCTGACATTCACATTATTAGAATACATCCATGTGCAATATCATTTAAAGTAGTAACTACTGAGTGCATCACAGGCAACAATACACAAAAACATATGGAAGTGAAGGTTCAACCATAGCAAAACACAGTCCCATTTTCATGTCTGCATGCAGTAACTGTACCATATAACCATATGACCATAGCAAAACACAGTCCCATTTTCATGTCTGCATACAGTAACTGTACCATATAACCATATGACCATAGCAAAACACAGTCCCATTTTCATCAAAACACAGTCCCATGGTGGCAAAATATTCCAGTAAGAACATAAAGCTTTCAGACTAAATCACTATTCAAGCAGCAAAAATCCTTGCTGCAAATGTTTAGACCATTTATGTAGTATAATGCTGCATGTGAAAGTGTACAATGGCTATTATTTCACCTGCCAACTGCCTGATGTCATTGGGTTTTACATTTGCATGACATTAAGTCATGGCTAATTACCTAAATGGCTTTTGATAAAGAATGATAAAATACTTTGGGAGCTTTCTGCACTGACAAGAATGCTACCACCTACTGAGATATGAAACACTAAAGAACATCATTAGTAGCAATGTGGAACAGGTACAGCTGAATTAAAGATATATATTCCTGAGCCATTTATTACATACTTAAACTAATTCCAAAATTAAAACAGTGAATGTTACTCATCAAGCATGGAATGGTGCCAAGAGACCAGTTAGCCCATATTCCTGTTTTGGGATGATTCATTACCTAATTGGTTGCAATCACTCAATTCCTCTGTTTAATTATATCCTCTTGCTAATGTAAGACTGCAAAAATATATATAGCTCCAAATATGTTGGGCATTGCGGCAACACCCCTGCTGTAATTTTAACACACACAGCATAAATCTGAGTCCTAAGTTCTGTGCACATTGAACAGTCTCCAACTCCAGCACATATTATTCCAATGTCACATGTGATTATGCTATTGCTATGATAATTTTGTGTAAAAGAGATCCCTTAATTTTCCGGGCAAAACTAATTTGAAAATTCAGCACAAGTTTGCCTTGCCTGAGTTTGACATGAACATGCTCCAGGCTCAGCACATTGACATCTCTAGGAGTTTGGCACAGGGGATGAACATTTTGCAGACTAGCCCTGACATATCTCTGTCACTGCTATACATACCGAGTGTTTACGTGTCAATGGGGATAGGGGAGTCCGTATTAACTCTGTTGAGGTGGTTTAGAACAGGCACTCCTTACCAAAAGCTGTTTGATGACAATACGCTATAAAAACTGGTCACGGTGCCATCCGATCATGTAAACGTGATAAATTTTCACTGCCCTCCCTGCCAAAATGTACGCGAGATGCTGGATTATCGCAGCAACACAACAGTTCGCGTTCGCAACGCAACCAACGTCAAGGCCTTATATCTGAGGTAGAGACACCAAGTGGTTCATGGACACCCTGCGCGAGCATTTACATGACGTCACTGGAAGTCACTTCGTCGGCTGCCCGTAACTGGACCGAAGAGACGGCCGCCATATCGACTGGCGAACACTCTGTGTTATACCCCGATTTCTACAGACATAATATCGTGCCACATGCCGCAAACGGATGGTTCATTTATAGTAACCTCGGTCATGACCGCTGTCACCTCCTGTCACTTAACACGCTGACCCCGCGGCGATCGCCGCCGGCAACGACGCAGTGGCCTTCGTCATTGTCTCGCCCCTGCCACCACTCAGCGAGACCGTCATAAGCGGTCGCCGAGACCGGAGATACCGGTGGTTACTCCAGCACATACGCCCGCTGGCTAGTCGCACCAGGCAGCCTCATCGCCTGCTGACGTCCGTGGCCCCCCCCCCCCCCCCCCTTCCACCGGTACGAAGTTACCTGAGCGACCCGGTGCTTGCGTTGGAGCAATCGATTGCGGTCGGCCTGCAGCTCTGTTGCTGTCTGGTCGCATGCATCTAACGCCCGCTGCTATGCATCAGTAAACGCCTGGTGGTGTGCTAACCAACTGTAGTCAGCGGCCGCACGTTTGGGCGACTGGGCGTACAAACGACCATCTGCACGTGAAGCGTGCACAGTTCCAGCAGGCCACGCGAACAGGTCGCGCGGATGCGTACAGCTAGAGCTCCAAGCTACGTGCGGTCACCTGGTTGGTGGCGCGGGCCGCAGGCCGCTCGCGACCAGCCACAGCACAGTCATGGCCACACAACAGACTCTTCGTCGGGCAGCTCGACGAGTTAGGACTGTGGTATGACATGGTTCCCTGTGGTATATATGATATGGTTGTGGTATGATACGAGTTGGACTGTGGATGGTTCCGAGTGGTATGATACGTCCAATGATCGAGTGGTGGCTTACGATCCCGGGCGGACCTGAGTAACGTGTTTTCTGTTCCCAGCAGCGACAGGCCCGTGTGACGCACTCGCCCTGTGAGGCAACCGCCTCCAGATCTGAGGAAATCTCTCTCTATTTCTCTCTCCTCTTCTTTCCCTATGAGAGTCTCTCCTCCTCGTCCAAGATTATTTCGAGCTAGAGGAGCGAGAGAGGGGAGAGAGAGAGCGGAGAGAGGAGGAGCTTATAGAGTCTATCTCTCTCTCTATTCTCGAAAGAGAGATGCTCTAGCTCGAGCTCTCCTATCTATCTAGCGATCTATCGAGCCTTCTCTCTCTCTCTCTCTCTCTCTCTCTCTCTCTATCTCTCTCTCTCTCTCTCTCTCTCTCTCTCCTCTCTCTCGCTCTCTCTCTCTCTTCTCTCTCTTCTCTCTCTCCTCTTCTCTCTCTCTCTCTCTCTCTCTCTCTCTCTCTCTCTCTCTCTCTCCTCTCTCTCTCTCTTTCTCTCTCTCTCTCTCTCTCTCTTCTCTTCTCTCTCTCTCTCTCTCTCTCTCTCTCTCTCTCTCTACTCTCTCTCTCTATCTCCTCTCTCTCTCTCTCTCTTCTCTCTCTCTCTCTCTCTCTCTCTCTCTCTCTCTCTCTCTCTATCTCTCTTCTCTTCTCTCTCTCTCTCTCTCTCTCTCTCTCTCTCTCTCCTCTCTCTCTCTCCTCTCTCTCTCTCTCTCTCTCTCTCTGTCTCTCTCTCTCTCTCGACCCGGACGCTGGCGACCTGGCGACACGTGGGGTAACCTTGCTGGCACAGTTTGTGAATCTGGCGGCACCTCCGTTATCGTGGGTTCAAGGGCGGATCCAGAGGGGGGCACGGGCCATGGCCCCCCTTGGGCCCAGAAGGGGCCCATTGGCTCCAAGGGGCCCATAGCCGGCCGAAGAGGTGGAGTTTTTTTGCAACACAAACGCAACAAAACTGGGTATTTCTAGACTTCTAAGCGACCAAAAACAGTTGTAAGCGAAAGTGAAGGGCCTATGAAAGGTCCAACATATTATTCAATGATTGGAAAAGTTGTGAACTGGAGATTGTAAGCCCCATTACGCTGTCTACGGGCCCACGCTGTTTCCGGGGGACCTATATTCCCACTTGCAGGATCATTTCGATCGTTAAAGAGCATTCCACGTTGCCCTTCATCCCTTTGCATTTGCTCGGAGAGCCCTGCGCTGTTGTTGGGGCCCTTCCTGTTAGAGTCCCGGGGCACTCTTGCCAATCACGGGCCCTTCCACGTATTCTTTCCATTCGCCAGAAAGGCTCTGGGGCCTATAGTTGGGGTCCCATATTTTAAACTGCCAGGATATTCTCGGTTGTTCAGGGGCCCTTTACGTAAGTCTCGGTTAACTTACCGACACACTTGCGATATGCCCATGGGCCTCTACGTTGGTCGAGGGCGTTTCCAATTCTCTGCCATTTGCTTAGGGCCCAACACACTTATTGGAGGCCCATCTAATGGCCTGCTTGGGCACACTCATTCGTTCGGGGAGCCTCCACACTGAGTCTTGCGTACTTATTTTCCGAATGGGAGGGGGGGGGGGGGGCTACGCTCTTGTCGGGAGGCCTATCCGATAACATGCTCGGGCGCATTCGATCGTTCAGGGGCCCCCTACATCGGGCCTTGGGCACGTGCTATTTGAATATGGCTCTACGCACTTGTCGGGAGCCCCTCTGCTCGTCTCCTCGGCCACACTGGATCGCTTGGGGCCTTGCACATTGGTTCTTGACGCTTGAATTTAGGGCCCTCTGCTCCTTTCGGGGTCATTTAATAGTCTGGTGGGATACACTCCATCTTTCGTGGGCCATCCGCACCGGGTTTTGGGTACTTCTTACTTGAATAGAGGGCCTTAGGCTCCTGCCGGGGCCCCTTCCGATAAGAAGCTCGGGCACATTCCATCATTCTGGGGCCATTTACACAGAGTCTTCGGTGCTTCCCATTCGAATGGAGGACCCTACGTTCTTGTTGGGAGCCCTACTTGTTAACCTGCTCGGGCACACTCGATCATTCGGGGGCCTTCTACGTTGGGTCTTGGGTATTTCCTATTTGAATGAAGGACCCTCCGCTGTTGATGGGGGCTCATATATCTTAACCTGTTCGGGTGCACTCGATCGTTCAGAGCCCTACACATTGCATTGTGAGTATTTCTTAGTTGAATGGATCTCAGTGGGCCCCATCTATTCAGCTGCTCGGGCCGGTGGCGGATGCAGAGGGTGGGGAGGGGGGGGGGGGGGGGGCACAGGACCATGACTCGTGGACCATGCCGAGGGGACTTAAAGGCTCCGAACGGGCCCATAACCTGCCGGACGGACGCAGCTTTCTTATAACAAAAACACAACTAAATTGGATGCATTTGGGCCCACAGACGACCGAGAACCATTGTTAACAAAAGTACAGAGTTCATCAGCACACGAAGCTCATTCGTGCTGATTGAGAAAGTGTTGCTTGGGGCAGATTTTGGGACTTATTACGCTGTCAGAGGCACTACGCTGTTGGTTGCCTGGCCCCATATGTCAACTTGCCGGGTCAATTTGATCGCTAAAGGCTTTCCACGTTGCTCTTGATTTGTTTGCATTTTCTCGCAGGGCCCAATGTGCTGTTGGGACGCTATCCGCCTCCATGCCTGAGCACTGTTGATCGATCAGGTTTTCCCACGGATTCCTCCCATTCGCCCGAAACGCTCTATGCACTCTTTACGGGGCCCCCATATGCCGAGGCACACTCAGTTGCTCAGGGACCCTTCATGTAAGCCTCGGGTTCTTCCCACTTCCTTGGAGGGGCTCGTGCTGTTGCTAGGGCTCTTTTAAAGTAAGGCACGGAGACATTCGACGCCCAGGAGCACTCCACTTTGATTGAGGGCTCTCTCCCTTTGGTCTTATTTGCGGAGGACGCTTCACTCCTATCGAGGCTGGTGTTGTGAACCTGCCGTGCACTCTTGATCACACAGAGGCATTAATTCATGGTCTTGGATGATTCCCCTTTGCTCGGAGGGTCCTGTGCTATGGCTGGAGCTTTACATGTCGGCCTGCCGATGCACCACCGATCGTTTAGGGGCCCACCACGTTGGTCTTGGGTTCCTTTTGCTTGCTCTGAGGACCCTATACTTGATGACGGGAGCCACTTTGTTGGCCTCCTGCGGCACCCATGATCTCTCAGGTTCCGTCCCTATTGGCCTTGGTGTCTTCGCCTTAGCGCATTAGTAGAATATGCGTCGATCAATTTTTACGCGCAATAGCCGAACGTAACTTTACATGCCGCCGACGTCGCATCTGTCATTTACATTGGCTATTAAGTATGTGACACTTGTTATATTGGCGCATCACATTCTTAACACACTTTGAATGCTAGGATATGTTGTACTCCTTTATATCAAACGAAATATTCTGCATTAGCCATCGGCCAACAGCTGATCACATCGCCCAGCCGGCTAGCCGTAAATACATGAGCTAGGAATCAAGCCTATGCTTGGTTTTGATGGTAGGTAGCAGACGACTCAAGCTTATTTTGCCTGTTGTTCCGAACAGTTAGCTTCAAAATCACAGCATTTTACATGATCTGTAGAAAATGACTCATCTCTATGTGTATGCATGCGTAGCAAGCCTTGCATTATAGGGCTGCGCACAGTAAGACGAGCTTCGGTATTTCTTAAAAATGAATAGGTAAATACATATATACATTTATGGATATATATATGTATATACATATATATATATATATATATATATATATATATATATATATATATATGACACAAGACCCGTCTTAAAATGCAATGACGAAAAGAACTAATATATTTTGGAGGGGGCCCAAACTCCAGGCGCCCCAACAATGTTGCGTGCCCCCCCCCCCCCCCTTTGACGAAATCCTAGATCCGCCCCTGTGTGGCTACACCCAATCCCACAAAGTGACGGAGCAATGCGGTGGTGTTTACATTGGCAAGTGCGTTCGCCGATTTATGCGTGTGATCGGCTTAAGGCATCGCCACATGCCAGAAGGACCAAACAGGTTGCAAAATCTGTC